GCTCTGCACAGGAGAGAATGCCCGAGAGTGTTCCCAGCCCCACATCAGCCTAGTGAAATAGCTACTCACATTTGGAAAATTGGACTGGAAAGTAGGTGACCTAATTTTCTTTTCTTGTATAGTTACAGATGTGCTGAGACAGTCTCACATAAACTCTTCTAGTGTTTAAGCCGATGACATCTTTGTTAGTTGTCATGATAGTAAAACCTTAAGACATCACGCAAATAGACATATCTTCCTGCTGGTTCCATCACCAAACTTTGCCTTCAATTTATTATAATCCAGTGCTGATATTGGGAGTCACATTAGGTAAACCAAGTTTTAATACTTCTAATCCTCATATGAGAGAAGTTAGGGGTCAGGGAAGAAGGGAATATAATTTAATTGCAAAACTTCCTTTTGCTTACATTCAACTGTCTACTATTTGTCTCCTCTTGCTTCCTCAAATTAGTTTCTATTTCAAGGATTATTTTATTTTGTAGCTCAATACTTTATTACAGACATGGGAAAACTAAAACACAAAGGCAATCCAGAACAGAAATAGAGATTACTTTGTGAACTTCTCATTCTTTTCTTGGAGTTGAGACGTGAGATCACGTTTAGAATGATGATCCAGCCCATGTTCTTTTTGCCAAGATTTGTTATAAATGTTACCACCAACTCTACAACATTAAATATGGCCTTACATACAATGATTATTGTTTCCCAGATATTTATTAGAAGACCATATGTTGTCACCAGGCTAAATGTGATGTAGAGGTGGCAATAGTACTAAGCAAGCATAGGGAATTTGTGTGCATTAAACAAACTACTATTTTAAACCAACTTACCATAGGTTATTGTCCTTAAACCAAGTTAGCTGCCAGTAAAGCTTAGTTGTCATTGTTGTTATTAATAGAGTCTTGCTTAATTGAAATATAAGTATGAAACTTCACTATGGCGTGTGCCCAGAATGTGTGAGGGGATAGCCTGTCTAGGGTTGAAGTGCCTTAGTCCCACTTGCCCAGCTGTATGGACCAACCATTTATCAAATTTCACTATTGAATGGGACAACTGTGAAAGCCCCCTTCAGCTCTCAAAGTCTTTGATTTTATTTTTATTGATTGATTTTTAGAGAGAGAGAGAGAGATCAATTTATTGTTCCACTTACTTATGCATTCATTAGTTGCTTCTTGTATGTACCCTGACGAGATCAAACCTGCAACCTTGGTGTATTAGGACAATGCTCTAACCAACTTAGCTACCCAGTCAGGGCTTTGATTTATTTTTATTCATATTAAAAAACATAACCCTTGAAACTAGGTTTTGAAAGTTATGTCCACTGTCACTAATATTTATTAATATACTTAGTATATTTCCCTTCTAGCATGCTGTCTTCCTGTAACAGAGAACGTTCTGTGTACTGTGTCATTTGACTTTGCCTTAGTCTTCTGTGTGGTTGCTTGCTGTCTTTCTGCATTAGGTAAGGTCCAGAACCTTAATCTCTTCTTATCCGACTCAAATTCACATGCCTATTGTTCCTTCTAATCAAATCTGGTCAGTCTATTTACTGAACCCTCTTATTTACCAAGTTCATTCCTTTTCCTCTTTCTTTTCTCAGGCTATTGGTCCTCCTGCAAAGCACCCCCTGATCGCACTCCCTTACCCACATCCCATCCGTTTCTGCTGCTATGTGTCTGCAGCCTCAGGAACCCTTCCTTTGCTGATTACTCTTTAATCACCATTCCAATCACTCCGGTTGTACTCTTCCTGTGTGCCATCTGCACCCAGCATCACTCTCCATAATATCCAGCAGCATTTCTCTTCCCAATAGACAGTGGTTTTTTTTCCAGCCAAACATGTCTTTATTTTTCATACCTTGCATCATAGAATATAGGTAAGACTCAGTTCTGTGTTTATATGCAAAAATATTTACATGAACATACCACAAAACATTTGTTTGCTTTTACAGGAATTGTTGTAAAAATGATAGTTGGTGACATATATTAATAGGTTACTATGTTATAATTACATTTTGAGAACTTCATCATGGGGCAGAGGGGGTGGGGTTAGGGGTTGGCACATAGCATGTCAAAATTTCTGCCACTTAAAGTAATGGAAATAGGCTCCCAATTAGCATTTAATGCAGAACTTTGGCTTTGCAGATATGGATTACTGACCTACAGGGAACAATGCCTATGCTAACGATCACTACATAAATAGGTCCCTACATATCACACTGGAGGATGCTGTGGGCGACAGGGAGCTGCCTGTGGGACCAGCAGCCCTCTAGGCAGTCCCACCTGCGAACTATATACCTGCAGGTTAGAGCTTCTGTCCTTGTAAATTTTGATTTGGGAATATTTGAAATCTGACATGTTTTCTCTGCTAACAAAACCATAACACTCGAACATGTTTCTCCCAGTCACCCTTTACTCATGCCTCTCATTTGACCATGATTTCAGGCAGCTCTTTAGGCCTCAGGGACTGAATTTCATGTATCCGTCAATGTTAAGGAAGCCTATTCCAAACAGGCTCTCAAGGATTGATGAAAATCCATCAGGCCATTGTCAGAGGTGGTACAATCCACTGGAGATTATGTTTAGTAATTAATATTCTTTAGAGATTATTATACTCTCTCTAATTGTGTCATGTGTGCCACATGGCTCTACCTGGCCTGGCAGCCTCTGCTGAAAGGTGAGTTGTGCGTTGTTACTGCCCCTCCGCAGCCCACCCAACCTATCTCCAGCCATTTCAGCTGTTTAGCCAGTAGTGCAATCCTTCCGCAGAGATTTGCAATCCAGATCATAAGCAGAATTGCAGGGTGCCTAAGTGTTATCTCAGGCCTTGCTGTGATAAATCTAATGCTACTATGTGCTGATTCCTTTCTTACATTTTTTAAATTATTTTTATCTTTATTGTTAAAAGTATTACATACCTTTTATAGTCATCATTTATGGCAAGTTTAAAGTTTTTGGAAACCAGTTTCTGCAGCAGTAGGAGGGTGTGTGTGTGTGTGAATGTGTGAATGTGAATGTGTGAATGAATTTTATTCATCTGCTAAACAATTGAACAAAACTCAACAAAGCATTGTCTATAGTAACTTTGGATGCACAGACTGAGTATCTAGAGAGGCACAGAAAGTGACTTAGAAGGGACCTTTGTTAAAGCCTTCCATGCCTGTCAATATGCCTATTGTTCCTGTGAAGAAAAGCAGGAAAAGGAAATAAGACATACAATCCTTATATCAAGGAAGAAGGCGGCCAAATCCCTGTGGACTCTTGCTTGTCTGTTCCTGGGTCCCCAGTGATGTTCCCTTTCTTCACTGTATCCGCTGGAATCCATTCATAATGAGCAAAATGGTTTAAGGACTCAGGTCTATTTTCTCTGAAGTTAATATTTTTTAGTGACATACATTCCAGTTTTCAAAAGAGGTTGACCTTTTGAAAAGAGATTGTTCCCCACTGTTTTCTCCAATACGGAAAGATTTTCAAGATATTTAAAAGAAAAAAGGCAAGGTATAAAAAATGTCTAAGTGCCCATTAATGGGAGGAAGACAGAATGTTCTGCTGAACATTCTGCTGAACATTCAGGTGGATATGATGTGATGTCCAGGGAGTGCACAGTTATTTCCAGACAGAGGGTTCCTACAGGGATCAAGACTGGGCCTGTGCTAACAGACTCGCATTCTATCAAATACTTTTATATACTGTTAATTATTACCCTTATTCTGTTTGCATATAGTATTTTCATGAAAAAAAAATTAAGATGAATGTTAAAACAAAGTCTTTAGAAAGGAGAGCTCTTTTTCTTTTTTTATTTATAATTTTTTATTTTTATTGATTTCAGAGAGGAAGGGAGAGTGAGAGAGAATCATTGCTAGGCTGCCTCCTACACGCCCCCTACTGGGTATCAAGCCCGAAACCCAGGCATGTGCCCTGACTGGGAATCAAACCGTGATCTTCTGGTTCATAGGTCAATGGTCAACCACTGAGCCACACCGGTCAGGCAGAGAGCCCTTTTAAAACAAGACATTTGGTCAGCTTTCATATAAATTCAGCTCAGCAGTAGGCTGGATGCTTGGTGATGCTCCCTGGAATGCTGTGCTTTTGGTTTCGGTGTTGCTCTCATTGATTACTTCAGCTGGCTGAATAGGTGTTTGTGCTTGACATGATCAGGGCGAGTGAGCCGGGCTCTGTGACGGATGAGTGTCAGAGCTTCTGGAAGGGCTGTGTATTCAAAGAGCTCCGTTAGGAAGAGCCAACACTGCTGTATTCTATTGTTACTCATGTTCTGTAAGGAGGGGAATCTGTGCACAGAGATAACAGAGCGTTCTGAATTACAGGGCCACCTGGGTGCAAAAGCCAGACAGCCTTCCAGATTATTTCCATAACTAGAGAAGGGTGCTGCTTACCAGTGTCATCCAATTTCAGGGCTTGAAACCACAGTAGACTGCAGTCAGAGGTTGTACTGGGAAACAATAGACAAATAATTGTGGCATGATTTCCTAAACAGAGGGACAGTGGTATATCTGAGTGAACTTGTGATACAATCTGTGACATTAATGATGAGTAGGTTCACACTGGAGAAACTCAAAATCCTCAGTACGGGGAAAGCAAGAAGGCAAAGCAAGGAAAGGAAGCCATCCTTGTTCAGAATCCTCAGGAGCATTGTGATGGTGCCGGAAGTATCTGGGCTTGGGGTTAGAGCTCTCTAGTCTCTTCCGTCATTCTTCACGTACTAGCTCTTTGTCTTCATACCACACACTTTCTCAGCCTGGTCTCTGTGTCATGAGCACAAGAGTACCTGCCTGGCAAGATTATTGTGATGATTGGAGGGAGGGAGGGAGGGAGGAAGGGAGGGAGGGAGAGAGAGAGAGAGAGAGAGAGAGAGAGAGAGAGAGAGAGAGAGAGTGATTATAGCAGAGATAGTCTGACATATAGTATCCCCAGTAAGTGAGAATAACTTTGCTGCTCTTATTGGCAGTGATGTGGCAGCTTCTGTGCTAAGCTCGTCTCTACTTGTACTGTCTGCATCGGCCTTGGGCTGGCTCCGCAGGTTGGCTCCACTCTGAATGGACAGCTCCATCCAGCTACCAGCTTCGTGCATTTCCTCTTTCATATCTGTGGTATTAAGCTTTGATGCTCCTTCTACACCTTATTCAGGGAAAATTACACCAAATAGACCTAGCTTTGATCTATTTTCAATTTTGACAGAATTATGGACAATTTCACTGTATTTTAAAGTATAACCAGAGACTCCAGACTACAGAATTTCACCCTTTTCATCTTTTCAGATCTTGAAAGTGGGTGATTAACCATTGTCAGCTCTCCATTGACTCAACCTTTCTCAGCTGTTGAACTCCTGGCTCCAATTCACACCTCCGTTCTCTCTTTAATCCTTTAATAATTTAATCTCTTTAATAACTTTTTTTGTAGTGCCTTACTTTCAGGAGGGCAATTATGTATTTGTTTTGTTATTTTAACAGAATTATGATCTTTGATTTATTCTATCCTGAAAGCTGCTTCTAGTGTAATGGTTACAAAGCATCCTATAGCCAACATAAGGATTATCAAAGCATTAATTATATCTTCCTTTAGTGCTTAGTGCTTTCTTCCCCATCATGCCAATGTGTGAAATTTCAGATTAACAAGACTGCAGGTGGACTAGAAGTACAAGGAGCTCTTTCCCATCCTTGATAATACTGCATAACAAACCACTTCAAAATTCAGTGGCTTAAAAACTGACTCATTCTTGTTCAGGTGCTTGTGGGTTAGTTGGGGTTGGCTGATCCAAGCTCAGCTCATCCACTGCAGGTTAAGTCCAGGTTTGCTCCACACATTTTCTTCTTCCTCAGACCAGTGGGCTGATTGGAGCATGCTTTCCTCTGGCAGTAGCAGAAGGGCAAGACAGGTGAATGGAAACAGGTGTTACCTCCTAAATCCTAAGTTTGTAACTGTCCCTTTCACATCCAGCCGCATGCCATTGGCCAAGCTAGTCGCACTGCCAGGAGGAGCTGCACAGCCAGATGGCAGAGGGTGCAGTTACAGGAAGGGGTGAGGAGTCAAGATCAGTAATATAGCCAATCACATCCGCCTTTGCCACTACTTATCCAACCACTCAGTTCGAGCAGGTCTCCAAGCCTCAGCTTCTCAATGATTGCATTCATTCATGCCATTCAATGAATAATTTCACCATCTATGTGGTGTCAGGCATGGTTCTAGGTGATGGGAATACAACAGTGAACAAAATAGTGAGAAATCCTTGCCCACATAGATTCCATATTCTAGTCAGCGATACAGAAAAAAAATAATATGTATGTGTGTACATGCATTCATGAGTGTATAACGTGTCAAAGAGTAAAGAAGTGCAATGGCCCAGCGGGTGTTGCTCAGGGGTTGAGCATTGACCTATGAACCAGGAGGTCACAGTTCCATTCCCAGTCAGGGCACATGCCCGGGTTGTGGGCTTAATCCCCAATGTGGGGTGGCATGAAGGAGGCAGCCTATCAATGATTCTGTCTCATCATTGATGTTTCTATTTCTCTCTCCCTCTCCCTTCTTCTCTAAAATCAATAAAATTATTTTTTTAAAAAGAAGTGCAATGAAGAAAAATTCAGTAGGCTAAGTAAAATAATCCACCTCTCCATGCCCCATAGATTGCCATTATTAACAGCTTGATGTTTGTGGTTAAGGGGATGGATAGTAGAGTCTGACCATGGGGGTTTGAATCCTGCTCTTCCTTTTATTTGCTTTGTGATCTTGGACATGTCTATTATATTTCCTCTAGAGGCCTGGTGCATGAATTCATGCACAGGTGGGGTCTGGGTCTGCCTGGCCTGGGGAAGGAGCCATGGGTGGTTGGCAAGTTGGCCCTGCCCTCGATTGGGTTGAGGGGGTGATCAGGGGCGGGGCCGGACAGGGGGATGGGCCTTGGGTGGTTGGCTGGCTGGCCCCGCCCCCTGGTCAAACTCCCAGTTGAACTCCCGGGCAAGGGAACAATTTGCATATTAGCCTTTTATTATATAGGATTGCTGCATAACAAATTCCCACAAACTTAATGCCTTAGAGAAACGTACATTTATGACCTTATAGTTTGTGTGGGTCAGGAGTCCAGGCAACAGCATAGCTGGGTCCTCTGATCAGGGTCTCACAAGGCTGCAGTCTAGGTGCTGTCTAGACTGCATTCCTTTCTGGAACTTGGGATCGTCTCTCCATGTTATATTGTGGTTGGCAGACTTCAGTCCCTTATTGAATTCTGTAGGAATGAGGTCCCCATTTTCTGACTGTTAGCTCTCAGCTCCTAGAGACCCCAGTAGTCCCTTGTCATGTGACTTCCTTTAATACCTCTCACCACATGGCAGCTTGCTTCTTCAAGGCCAGTGGAAGAATCTTTCTCCAGGCTACTAAACCTATGAAGACAGATTCTTAAATAATGTCATGCAATCAGGGGAGTGACTCTCCCATCTCTTTGGCCATTTGCTATTGACTTGAAGCAAGTCACAGCTTCTGCCTGCATGCAGTGGGAGGGGTTTATTCAAGGGCATGACTAACTGAAGGTCATCTTAGAAATCTGTCTGTCAAACGTGGTACTTCACCTTTCTGTGTCTCACTTTCCTCATCAGTAAAATGGGGGTGATAATAATTATATCTGCCTCATCAGGTGGTTTTGTGGATTAAAGGAATTAATTGAAGTACCTCAGAACAGTGCCGGCTACAGAGAAATTCCTATATGTGTTAGATATTTTATTATCTGTGAAATGTGAGGATTTTGTTAGATGATCTTAAAGGTCCCTTTCAGCTTAAACATTATATGGTTTTGTTACAATACAATGTAATGCAGAAATGAACAAGGACAAGACATCTGATTTAAAAAGAGTGAGAGAAAGCACATTATAGGGACAAGTTTAACCTAAATAGACTAGATTTCAAGGAGGCAAGATCATTCCTCCTTCATGTTGCTGTCAGTGGAACCTCCGTATGTACTTCCTGATGTGAGGTTTTGTGGGCTGTCTTGTCAAAGGATCTTTTGGGGGACCAGAGGCTCTCTAAGCAAACGGTGCTTTATAAGGTTTCTTTCTTTGTTTACCATACTGTCCCTAAATTAATCGAAGCCTAAGAATCTCAAACAGATCATTGGATGATGCCACTGAATTCTGTAATGTAACAGTTTGCATATAGGTGCAGGGCTATGCTTGAGAGGTAAAAGTATGAATGTCTTCTAACCAAACTTGTTTAAACATGAATAACTGAAGCAGTACAGCCCCTAAGTGTCCCCTCCCACCCACATAGGCCCATGAAGAGAGGGCCTATGGTCACCTCTGCCTGAGGCAACAGATCTTGCTATTACTGCTTCCCCTGCTAAGAGCCACTGATGAAAACTGTTTCTCCCCAACCAGACAGGAAACGGCTCGGGGGAGAAGGGGAGGGTAGCTCAGTCTCTCCATTCCCTGTCTCTGGATGATATACTCTGTCTGGAGCATAGAGGAGCCAAAAGGCAGCTTCAGTGGTTGTTTGTATAATCCATTCTCTGTGTGTTTATGTTCTCTGTGGAAAGGCCATGATTCAGAGCAGCCGCACTACTGACCTTCTGAGCTGGATTTCTAGGGGGGTGTCCTGTGCTTGTAGGATGCTTAGCAGCAAACGTGATCTCTGCCCACTAAATGCCAGTGGCAATCCCTCCCTCCTCTGTCATGACAACCACAAAATGTCTATAGATCTTGCCAAATGTCCCAAAATCTTTTATATATTTATTTACATAGTTATCATGAGTTTTAAAGAGATAATTAAAAACATGCATGATTTTACAAAATTCAAGCTGTACAACATGGTAACGAGTAAAAATATATCTCTTACCCCAATACCCCAGCTTCCAGGTTTCTCCCTCCAGAGGCAAACATGTTACCATTATGTTTGGACACTGCTCTGACATTTATATAAATGCAGATATGGGCATCTAGTTGTTATAAGACATCTAGGCAGTTGTACTACATATGCTTTTAATTCCTTTTTTTTAATCCTTACCCAAGGACATGCTTAGAGAGAGAAAGAGAGAGAGAGAAACATCATTGTGAGAGAGAAACATCAATCGGTTCCTTCCCGTGTGTGCCCCAACCAGGGATCAAACTCACAACCCAGGTATATGTCCAGAACAGGAATTGAACCGGCAACCTTTCAGTACATGGACGGTACCCAACCAACTGAGCTACTCCGGCCAGGCAGTATTAGATTTTTATTAGCAATTTTTTCCCCATTTATGTTCAAGATGAAAATAAATGACTGGAATGAATCTCTTTTAGGTTCTTTCCATTGTATTTTTAGAAAAAGTTTGTCGGTTCTTTCTGGACTGATATATAGTCTCTCAGAAAAGAATTACTTCCTCCACAGTGAGGAGCTGCATTCTCTTAACTTATCCCCTTGGCCTCTGAGCCTCGCACCATGATCTCTTAAGACTGATTCCATGTGGCAGTAAGGAAAAACTCTTTGGGGCATCAATCTTTTAAGCCCTCAATGGAGACATTTTTCACCTAAGGAAACAACAGAGTCCTGCAAAAGTACTAACAGCTGGGTTTTTGTTGGGAGTCTGTGAGCTGTGGTTTTTATTGATTTCCTTGTCCTATTGAGGACACCATGTGCCTCAGGAGGTTGTGTCCTTTACTTCACAGCACCACCCTCTCACACAGTGGAATCCGATGTTCTTATTAAGGCTCATTTTCATAAGAAGTGCATTACTGTACCTGCTACTTCGTAAATCTGTTTTCTGTGTTTTAGTAACATGAAATTTAAGTTTGATTTTTGTTGGTCGTCGTAGTGGTGGTGGTGATCTGCCCACAAAGTTGACTTCCACAGTCCAGCTAAATATACATGTTATCTTCAAGGGTACCTGCATTTTATAACCCAGGGAAGATGTTTCAAACTGATAACTCTTACTCTCGGCAACCGATCTATGTTTCTCTCTCTCACTCTTCCTCTCTCCCTTCCACCCTCTCTAAAATCAATTTTGGAAAAAAAAAAAAAAGAAAGAAAGAAAGAAAGAAAACATATCCTCGGGTGAGGATTAAAAACTTTTTAAAAAAATGGGAATTATGATGATGGTGATGATGATAGTGATGGCAGCTGACTTTCACTGAGTGCTACTGTGTGTCATATGGTTTTCTAAGTATTTACATGTATCACCTTATTTAATCTTATCAAGAGCCTAATGTGGCAGGTACTGTTCTTTATTATCCCCATTTTGCCAAAGGGCAAACTGAAGCACAGGTGGCTTCCCAGCTGGAAAAGTGACTGGGTGGGGTGGACAGTTTCATCCCAGAGGGAAGGATACCAACTGAGCCTAGAACCTAGAAACAGTGTAGTGTGTAAAAAGGAGCGTGGACGTTGGAGCCAGTCACTTCTTTGATATCCTGCTTCTTCCCGCTTGGTGAGGCCTTTGTCAGGTCCCTTACACCTCTAAGCCTCAGTTTCCTCACCTGTACCATGGAGGGACAGGACCCACCAGAGGCATTGTTGTGAGGATTAAATGAGATGGTGTATCAACGTGCCCTACACAAGGGAGCACTTGAGAGTGTGGCCGAGACCCTCCTTTCTCTCAGCCCTCACTCTCCACACACCTCCTCCTAGTTTAGTAGAAACCCTGGAGTACTTAATGCTCTTGGCTTGTACACACGCCCCTCTGAAGTCTACAACCTTGAACATTTCTTGTACCCAACCAACCAAGAGTTTTCTGCCCTCCGCTCACTCCAGTCCAGCCTGGCCTGAAACGCACCTGATGGCGAATAATTTTAAAGGAACTTAAGAACTGAGGATGTGTCTTGAGGTGTTTTCTTTGCTCACCTGCATCATCACTGGCGTCATCTAAAATGAGTGAGGTTTTCTTGGTCGGGGTGGGAGGGTGTGCATTTTCACAATGTTTGTTTCTAATCGAGTAACAGAACTTTTCGTAGCACATACTACTGAGAGAATCCAATTCTGCTTTATATTATGAACACACCGTAACGAAACCCAGTTGCTTTGTTCTGTACTATAGTTGTACCTGCCACTTGGTTCGGATCTCTCAGTTCTGAAGTTAATAACAGAATAGCCTAATAGGAAGAGATGGGTTTCTAGCAGGCACTGTCCAAAGATAGAAAAGTACATCTTGGGGGAACCACGCTCGTCAGTTCCTGTAGGTGGCAGTTTAAGGCTTACCCAGTGAATAATTTAATAGAGGACCGTAATTTTATGACTTACGTATGAATAAATTGCATGCATGCAAGCATAGTACATGGACAGAGAAAGTGCTGAAAATTGTGGTGATTGTTGTTGGCTCAAGTCCGGTACTTGAAAGGACTGTGCATGACTTAATCATATGGAAGCTGCTGACAGGGCTGGTAGGAGAAAGAAAGACAGACACAAGTGGCTCTATTTGTAAATGACAGACTAGTCTGTAAATGCATCTACGGAGGACAATCTTGCACATTGACTCTGAGCCAACTGCCTGTGCAGTGTCTCTAATGCAACATAAAGAAAATAAGAGTGGCAATGAGTGTTTTCCTCCTTTTGTGAATTTAATTTCACATCTACTAAAAATATGAGTTCCCAGTACTCTTAGGCAGCAATGCCATTGGCCAAAGTCCTAATTTTGTATTTTTCAAAAATGCCTACCCGCCCTAATCTCCATTCCTCAACTTGTTGTAGTAGGAGCTTATTTTAATTATAAGAAACCCATAAGACAGCAGTGGCTTAATATTTAAAAACTCAGTGAGCTCTTTGAAAGGACTGAGTTACCTGCCTCTTTAGTGAATGTGATCATTAGAAGATTTTGCACCTTGGTTGGAATGGCCCTTTGCTCCTGTCTGTTGCCAGGCAGTCTTGTAAGGCTGTCCTTGCCTTCTGTGACTGACTGGTCAGTAGAGGAATGGGGGCAACGGAGAGGGGATGACAAGATGTTGCCTTCTTAAGAGATCAGAGAAAGAGCAGCTGCGACAGCTTCAACTGTGTAAGAAGGCCACATTGTTTAGATTCCTAACTTTTAGGAAACTTTATCCTTTACTGAAAACCATCCAGGCAATGTTTTGTGATATGTTAATAATACAGAGTGAAAGCTACTTCTCAAGGAATAACAAAACAGGATGGTCTTATAGAAGTATGATGGAGAGTAGGAAGAGATACCCATTGTTGGCCCTACCCCTAATTTGTCTGATTATCTTCATTTTGTCCTTCACCTGAGATAAAATTCATGGCCAAAGGTCAACATGTGTGTTTCAGTGGTTTTTATGGTATATTCTAATGGGAATCCATTAGTTCTTTGGAGTCCAGAGACCATCCTTTCTCCCCTCCCCCTGCCAGTCACCATTAGCTGTGTGAACCTTGCAAGTCACTCAGCCCGTTTCAGACATCATTTGTATATCTCTGTATAACTCAGAGATCCCCACTTAGGGCTTGTAATTCATTATATCACATTTCATATTCATACATACTGAAGCCCCTTGTCCCAGCCCCTCTGAACATTCTAGACCTCCTTGTCCAAACTGTCGTGACACAGGATAAGTTAGAGTGTCTGTGTTTCCCACCTGGAGCTCCTCCAGGGCAGGCTCTCACTCTCTCTTCCTCTGGACACTCCTGCCGACCCCAGATCTCTCCGCCCACCAACCCTGCCCTTTCCTGTTTAGCAGTGGAGATGACAGCACACAGTGTCTCCATCGGTACCGGCTGCTATAACGGAATATCATAGACTGAGGGGCTTTAATAACACACACTTATTTCCCACGATTCTGGAGGCTGGAGGTCCAGGGTCCGCATGGTCAATGTTTTAGTGAGGGCTCTTTTCCTGGCCATGTCTTCACATGACTTTCCCTGGAGAGTGTGCTCAGAGAGATCCCAGGTCTCCTTTTTACATAAAGATGTTAATCCCATCATAAGGACCCACCCTCCTGACTTAATTTAATTCTAACTATTTCCTAAGACCCCATCTCCAAATACCATCACATTGGGGTTTAGGGTCTTAACATAATGAGTTTTGGGAAGGGAGAGACCCAAACATTCAGTCCATATATATAAGTGTTTTGAAAAAACAAAACAAAACAAAAATTGGTTAAGGAGTAAGGAAGATATATGTATACATTTGCTTTTGCATTAGTCTCTTAGCTGACTCATATATAACCCACAGTGCAGGACTGTAATAATTTCTAGTTATGGAAAATAATTGGCCAAATATGCCATTGATTCAGAAATGCATTAAAATATAATGTGAAGTTAACCAGATAGCTCAGAATAATCTAAACTGGTGCTGATGAAGCTAAATGAGCCCCAGTTTAGCATTTAAAATCAAGAATAACAGCAATTGAAAGTTACACCAAACTCACTGTGACCTGATGATGAACCTGTAGTGAACTGCTCGACTCCAGCTCGTTGCGCTGGTGGCTGACAGGAGCACCCGACGTTGTGAGGACCTGAATAGCAGCCATACGTCCTGAGAGAAGACATCATTTTTAACTTATTTATTCATTTTGGATTGTAAATACCAAATATTGGCAGTGGTATTCTAAGTACCAGTTCGGAACCCACTGAATTGGTTAGAAATGAATAGTCCATGTGTAGGTGAGAGACTGTGTATGGTGTTGGGTGTCAGTTGCTAAGAGAGTGCTGCATTGAGAGTGAGGGGCTGCTCTGGGCCAAGAGAAGGCCAATGGGGCCACTGGACAGAAAGGTTATCATAAAAGTCACCCTTTATCAGGTGACCCTGCTGACATCTTGATTTCAGCCCAATAAAACTGATTTCCAACTCCTGACTCTTCTTTGAGACAAATGTCCGTCCTTTTAAGCCACCAAATTTTTGGTTACTTGTTACAGCACCCACAGGAAACTAATACAGTCCCATTAACATGTTTTTAAAAGTAATATCATTCTCTAAAGCACAAAGTTTCATAGTTTGATGAATGAGTTCAATAGCTCTGTCATTTTAAATTTTAATGTCATAAAAATGTAGCTCTAGCTGGTTTGGCTCAGTGGATAGGATCCCGGGTTCAATTCCAGTCAAGGGCACATGCCCAGGTTGCAGGCTCGATCCCCAATAGGGGGCATCAGGAGGCAGCCAATCAATGACTGTCATCATTGATGTTTCTATCCCTCTCTCACTCTCCCTTCCTCTCTGAAATCAATAAAAATATATTAACAACAACAAAAAATGATGTGGTAAACGGGAGATGGCATCCTGGCATCTGGAGCAGAGTCTTTATCAATAAGAGGTTTGCAGTAATTTTTATGCATAAATGAATAAATAGGCAATAATATACACATATCTTGTAGCTGTAATTGTATTTATCCAAATAGTATATACACGGTTGCAAAAACTATAATAAAATATTGCCAATGCAGCACATGCTGTAGAACTCTCTTGACCTAAATTTTTAAACAGCCTTTCTGCTAGTAAACTTACCAGAGATTTAGTTGTAATTCACACATTCCTGCATACTCCATTCAAAGCTCTAAAAATAATAGCATCATTTATAGAATAGGTAAATGTATGGATTTCCTTTCGTAGGCAGGCCCTGACCCACATACCACTCCCAGTATAGGCACAGCCCTTACTCTGTCCTGTTCTCCCTCCTCCTCCACTGCAGACACAGCACAGGGGTGGGGACTCCCCACTTCTTCTAGGAGCCCCCTACCTAGCCCCCCAGTGTCCCATCCTAAGGGCAAGTAGGTGCCTCCTTGAAAGAAGAGGTAAAAGGCTGTGAATAGTAGAAAGAAAATGCAGCCTGACACCTCACTAGGCAGCTTCCAGACCCTCCCCCTTTGCTGTAGCATTGTCCTATAACCAGTGCCAAAAATGCAGGGAAAATGACTCACTTTGTGACCATTCCTCACCCCCCTCCTAGCCAGCTCTTGTCACTTCTTCCAAGTCTCTGCTCCCTCTGCATTCCTGACCTTAGGTCCATGCCTGTCTCCTCTGGGCTAGGATGCCTCAGGCCAGCCTGTCCCCATCCCTCACCGCCCCCCCCCCCCTTCTCTGGGCTGGAGTGGCTGCCCCAGGCTAGAGCTTCATGCGTCTTGGGCACAGGAGCCCTGTCCGCTCCCTGGCACCTCCATTCGGAGAGTGTTGGGATTTCCATGGTGGCTGCACTTTTATCGGGCATGCTGCTGTACGAGCTGGCTTGGCTCTGTATGGCTTTCTGGTTTGTTATGGATTTAACAGCCTTCTGTGCATCAGCCTGGGGACTAACCATCACGTAGAAAATCGTTTCTTTGGGAAAATGTATTGTGAGTCCCAAACGGCTCTCAAACTGTTGGAACGTAACTCCATGTTAGGAGCCAATCTTATTTTTTTCATTATGGAATTTTATAGCAGTAAAGTGATAATAAGATGTTTGATGAGTTTCAACTTGCCATTTTTATATAATGCAATTTTCCTTCCTGAATCTGGGCAGAAACTTATTAATAACACAAATGGCCATCAGTAAGAGGAGTTGATGAATAGTACTATTCCATTCACATAATCGTTACACAAGGGTTTGATGAATCTTAGCAATATACGTTTTTAAAAAATCCCCAAATAGATTAGCTACAGCATTATACTTTGTCTATAAAATTGAAAAGAAAACAAATTTTGTAATCTTTGCAAGGACAATAAAATTATATAAAAAGGAAAGAGAATAATAAGCATGATTCAGGATGGAGCTCACTGGGGGTGGTTAAAAGTTAAATGACCCAGCTCTTGTCTGAGGTGGTGAGCTCATGGGTGCTTAATATGTTACTTAAAACAAAATTCTGGGTACTAGGTCCACAGGTAGAAAAATAATAATAAATTTTTCCCCCTTTAGTCTGAAGGATACACTTTTTATGACTGTCAGGATCGAGTAAGAGTGAATGACAAGATAGGCTTTCTTAGTAAATAGCAATATAGGAGTATACCCCTCCTTGACTTTGAAACCAATCTAAAATGTCCTGTAGGTCAGCAGAAGCAAGGCAGCACCAGCCAGGAGGAAAGGAGCCACTTAGCTGGTGAGGTTGCCTAGCTGACCACTCAGCGTCAGTCTGTCAGTCTCTGCTGGTCTTGCATACGTAAGTTGCTTTAGGAGTCAACTGAGATGAATTAAGAGTCCTATTAATAATGTTGCAGCAACGCCTGAGTGACAGGTTGTGTTCCATAGATCAATAAAACAGAATAGAGAGCCTAGAAATAAACTCATGCCTATGTGGTCAGTGAATTTATGACAAAGGAGAAACAAATATACAGTGGGGTAAAGACAGTCTCTTCAATAAATGGTGTTGGGAAAACTGGACAGATACATGCATACAGTGAAACTAGACCACTGTTTTACATTATATGTAAGAATAAACTCAAAATGGATTAAAGACTTAATTTTAAGACCTGAAACCATAAAACTCCTAGAAGAAAGCATAGGCAATATAAACTCTCTGATCACTCTTAGCAAATATCTTTTCTGGTACATCTCCTCGGGCAAGGGAAAGAAAAGAAAAAATAAACAAATGGGACTACCTCAAACTAAAAAGCTTTTGCATAGTGAAAGAAACCATCAACAAAATGTAAAGACAACCTACTGAATGGAAGAAGATATTCTCCAATGATACATCTGATAAGGGATTAATTTCCAAGTTAAATAAAGAACTCATACAAATTAACACCAAAAGACAAACAACCTGATTTAAAATGGGCAGAGGACCTGAATAGACGTTTCTCCAAGAAGACATACAGATGGCCAGATATGTGAAAAGGTGTTCAACATCACGAGTCATCAGAGAAATGCAAATTAAAACCCCAAAGAGATAACGCCTCACACCTGTCAGAACGGGTATCATCAAAAAATCAACAAACAGCCCTAACCGGTTTGGCTCAGTGGATAGAGCGTTGGCCTGCAGACTCAAGGGTCCCAGGTTCGATTCCAGTCAAGGGCATGTACCTTGGTTGCGGGCACGTACCCAGTGGGGAGTGCAGAAGGCAGCTGATCCATGTTTCTAACTCTCTATCCCTAACCCTTCCTCTCTGTAAAAAATCAAATAAAATATATTTTTTAAAATAAAAAAAAAATCAACAAACAACATGCTGATGAGGATGTGGAGAAAAGGGAACCTTCATGCACTGTTGGTGGGATTGCAAATTGGTGCAGCCACTATGGAAAATAGTATGGAGATCCCCCAAAAAACTAAAAATAGAACTATATGACCCAGCAGTCCCATTTCTGGGTATTTACCCAAAGAAATCCAAAACACTCATTAGAAAAGACATATGCATCCCTATGTTCATTGCAGCATTACTTAGACTAGCCAAGAGGAAGTAACCAAAGTGTCCATCAGTAGGCAATAGGATAAAGAAGAGGTGGAACATAAATTCAACAGAAAATCACTTGGCCATAAAAAAGAAAGAAATCCTTTCATTTGTGACAACATGGATGAACCTTGAGGGTATTATGCTAAGTGAAACAAGCCAGAGAAATACAAATACCATATTATTTCATTCATATGTGGAATCTAAAAAAACCACAAACTCATAGATACAGAGAACAGACTGATGATTGACAGGTGGAATTGAGGTTGGGGGGCTGGGTGAAAAACATGAAGGGATTAAGAAGTAAAAATTGGTAGTTAAAAATAGCCATGGGAATATAAAGTGCAGCAAAGGGATATAGTCAGTAATATTGTAGTAACTATATATGGTGTAGGGGGTACCAGACATCACTGAGAACACTTCATAAGTTATATAGATGTTTAACTACTATGCTTCACACCTCAGACTATTGTAATATTAACTGTCATCTCTAACGGAAAAACAAACAGAAACATTTAAATCCAGATTCTGTTCTTGTTCTGTTCTCTTCTAGGAGACCCAGGCAGGTACCCTCTTTGCATTACAGTTTTCTCATCTGCAGAGTAGCCCATATTGTCCTATCTTATTGGGTTGATGATAACTCATGAAATAATAGATGTAAAATTGCCAACAGTAAAACAGCTTATGTGAAGTTATTATTGCTGCAAGACATGTTTCCACAGCTTTTTCTGTTTACTTCCTGTTTTCTATGTATAAATAATCCATTTTGAGTATCATTTAGAAATAATCTCTTATAAATGGTAATTTTACTCAGAAGTAGGCTGAGTAAAGAACACTCAAAGGTAGCAGACCCTTATTCCTGGGCCTTATTTTACCTTATTTGGAAAATGATTTTTTTGCAGATGGAATTAAGTTAAGGATATTTAAATGAGGAGATTATCCTAGCTCAGTGGTTGGCAAACTGTGGCTCACAAGCCACATGCGGCTCTTTGGCCCCTTGAGTGTGGCTCTTCCACAAAATACCACATGCCCGTGTGCACGTACAGTGCGATTAAAACTTCATGGCCCATGCGCAGAAGTCGGTATTTTGTGGAAGAGCCACACTCAAGGGGCTAAAGAGCTGCATGTGGCTCGTGAGCCGCAGTTTGCCGACCACTGTCCTAGCTTATCCAGGTGGGC